TTTATATATATATATATATTTTATAAGAATACTTGAGAACTTTCTGGATTTCCCTACTTTTGAAGGTAAAAATAACATTTGTTGGAAAAAACCTAAAGTTAAATAGAAACAATCCTTTCACCAATAAAATAAAATAATATTATATTATCATTTTCAACTGTATTTATCTTTATCTTCTCAAAAATGTTTTTAATTAAAATTAAAAGATTATGTTATAATTATATTGTCACTGTATATCCTGGATATTAGAATAATAGTTATAATAATTGATGTGAAATGTAAAAATTAATTGCAATTAATTGATGTATTTTTTTTTCACTTTTTAGACTATCATATTCAGTTTATTTTATTTTTATATGAATATGATTTTATTTTAATTATTATTTAATATTGAAAGTATAAAGTTTAACTTAAAATATAAAGAATATTATTATAAAAAATAAAATTTAAAAAATAATCATTTTTAAATTAAGTTAACATAAATATTAAAAGAAAAGTTAATAAACACATGTATAAAGGAGTTGTGGAGTGAGTAAATTGTATACTAAGTAGTTAAAACCCCGAACTTGTTATTTGTTGGAAGACTTACCTTAACTAAATCAGAGCTTGCGGCATTGTCTTCTTACACCATGCAAACAAGGAAAATTCTAACATGAAACAATATAAAATGTGGTACATGGATGAACATTATTTTTAATCGTTGGATTTAATAATATAATAATCAAGGGTTTAGATTTCTTACCTGTAATTTGGAAAAGAAATTTTTTGTATTTTACAGATTAGTCCCTGTTTAGAGTTACTATTTTAGTCGCTGACGAGTGGTGAGGACGAGAAAGACAACGGCAGGAAGTGCGATGGCGAGGCCGTCGAGGGCGAGTCAGGGGCATGGAGGGCCAGATTTAGAGGTGACGAGATTTAGGGTTTAGGAGAGGCCCTGGGAGAGTTGAATGTCGCGAACGACGGGGAGGGGGAGGTAGCAGCAGAGGAGGGACATGAGGCTGGTGGCGTTGAGGAGGAGGAGCATGCGCCTCCGCTGCCACACCGCGTGAAGGAGGCCACGCCTCTACTTCTACCGCACGAAGGAGGTCACACCTCCGCTGCCACCACCGTGGAAGGAGACGATACCTTCGCTGCCACCGTGCCTCCGTTGCTGTCGCGCCTCCACAGTGCCTCCGCATATAATACAAGGACTATTTTGCAATTTTAAACAAGTTAAAAAACTTGTTATTGTCGGTAATTTTGGTGCCTCATGGATGACCCATGGCCTTAGATACTTCATGTTAGAAGGCTTCTGCAAACAACCTATTTTACTTATAAGGTGTGTGATGAACTTGACAATAATAGTTTTTATGGGATGATGATAAGCTTCATAGTCATGTGCATGTAATTTCTTGGTCAATTGTTTATTCTCCAAAGTTGGATGGTGGCTTACGATCGAGGAGCTCTAAAATTGTGAATTCACTTTTTATAATGAAAATTTGTTTGCAACTTTGTTAACAAGAAAATAAATTATGGGTTCAAGCTATCAACTCCAAGTACAACCGTGGGAATGGATTGCTACTATTATTGCTAAAAAGTCAAATTTGTTTAATCTATGGAAAGAAGTATGTAGTGATTGGGACATATTCCAACAATGTTTAGCTTGGAAGATTGGTAATGGTCGAGAAACAAAATTTTGGTATGCTCAATAAGTTTCCTCCATCCCTAAGATAATATCAAGAGCCTTCCTATTTATTATTGTTAAGGAAATCAATGAAATAGTGGTTGAATATGTTAATTAGAACAGATATGGGATTTAAGAAGTATTAAGCATTTGTTGTTTACTGATGTTTGTGAAGCTATTCTAAGCCTCCCCCCTTGTGTTTTGGTTTAGAGTAATGCTTTTGTTGGGAATTTCTCTCTACAAAAAGGGTATGATTTACTATGCCCTAAAAATGAAAAGTCTTGACAAAAGGTGTTCCAACTTTTATGGAAATGGAGATGCTCAAAATGTATGTGTACTTTCTTTTGATATCTTGCCCACAATAGTCTTTCAATGAATGAAATGTGTGTGCATGGAAAAATGAAGGATAACGCTCTTAGGGACTAATGATGGCAAAGGAAATCTAGAAAAGAGTTGCTAATGAGAGACTTCTTAATGAATTTTTTTACAATGGATTGGTTAAGTTGGCTGAAAGATAATTTAGCTAAAGAAAGGGATATCATGTTTGTTGTTACTATGGACAACATTTGTCACATGTTGAATAATGTTGTTTTTAACAATGTTAGTCCTAATGTTGATAGAGTGATTGCTCAGGTGCAAGTTATAATTGTGAGAATAACTTTTGTTTTCTCTTCCTATTTTTTTCATAGGACCCCCCTCTACTACTAAACTTAATAACCTGCACATTTCTACATCATTTTCTCTTGAGCATGTTGTTAAATCAATTATGATGGAGTTATGATAGTTGGACAAGGAGTGACTTGTGAAGGTATCTGTTGTGATTCAGGAATTGTATGTATTGTTGTACACATACCAATCTTATTTATAAAGTGAATACAATAAATGATAGAGATACTAATCTCTAATATTATGAAAACTAATCTAATCATATCCCTAATTGATAGTGAGGATAATAACCATAATATATGTATCCACAATATCTGTAATATATTCACAATATCTGTAACACTCCCCCTCAAGCTGGAGCATATGTATCATATGCACCAATCTTGTTACAAATGTAATCAATCCGAGGTCCTTTAAGCGATTTTGTGAACACATCTGCTAACTGGTCACCGGAGGCGGCCCGAGGCAGCGGTCAGAGGCGGCGACCGGAAGCGGCGATCAGAGGCGGCGACCGGAGGCAGCTATCGAAAGCGGCGGTCGGAGGTGGCGATCGGAGGTAGCTATCGAAAGCGGCGGTCGGAGTTAGAGACCGGAAGCGGCGGTCAGAGTCGGTGGCCACCTGAAGCGACGGTTGGAGTCGGCAATTAGAAGCGGCGGTCGGAGGCGGCGACCGGAGGCGGCTATCAAAAGTAGCGGTCGGAGTCGGCGACCGGAAGTGGCAGTTGGAGTCGA